CATGAATAAGTAAATACCATATTAAATAATCTTTTAATTTCCTTATTCTCATGGCCTACTGTAGTAGCCTTATTTATATTCATTATTCAACCACCACCCTGAGCTGGCCTTGTGATTGCTTCATCCTTCATGATGCAGGTTTAGACTTTCAGAAATTCCACTTAATTGTGGGAGGGAACACTGTTCAAAAGACAAGGCAATTTTTGTTGTTAGGGCGTTTTGGGATTAGGCTTGTTTGGGCTTTTTTCGAACAGCCTGTACATCCTATGAAGCTAGCTGTCCATAAATCTCCCTGGGTAATCCACCAAGGCCTGCAGAACAATAGAGCAGTAAGGCCAAATTACATGTGAATGATTTTATGTCCTTTGAAGGTCACAGAGTTGGGAAGTACAGATAAATAGAAGCCATTGATGTAACTTCAGCAAGTTCCTCTGTGTTGAGCTTGCTGTATCTGAAATGTCAGCAATATCAAAGCTGTGGCTGGAGCACACTGAAGACAAGCTTCCAGATCACCAGTCACATTGACTGTGAGCTCGTCAAGCAATGTCAGGGATAATTATCACCTGCTTTAATCTCCTGTCACACACTGGGAAGGGAAAAATATAGTAAGATATTAAACAGATCTTACTTTAATATGTACATTATAATAGGAAATCTGGGGTAGTTGGAAAGGCCTGTGGTCTCTCCAGACTCGTATTAGGTTGAGGATTGCTTTTCTGCTTTCCTTTATGTGTAACTGGCTATCTCTGCAGGCTCAAAACCTTTTTCTTGAGTATAAAAAGTAGTATCTTGAAATTTCATATTTAATGAATCTGAAAAATAGCGTAAGCCCTGTTATGAATAGCTGATGACTAGTGGGAAGAGGGATTGTGGAGAAATGATTTTTGCTCTACAGATTGGCACCTACTGCATTTCCAGAGTTTCTTAGTAATGCTGAAGTTCTGCAGTTTTTCTAAAATGCTGATTTTGCTTGGGAAAGCAGCAGCAGACATAAAGAAGTGTAAAATTACATTGACTTGTGTGTCTGGGATAAATTGCAACTAAAATGCTGTAATAATAGAGTCTAGACGTGCAAATTACAGTTTGTGTGTTCTGGTACACTGATGTTGGCACTTGTTTACTGTAAGCAACGTGCCTGCCTACAGGAATAGCTACACTTTGAATAAAAAAAAGCACCCAAACGTTTCTAATGTTAGGAAAAGTAATGCTTACCATCTCAACTGAAAGTCATCAAGAGATAGGAAACGTGTAAGCTGTGAAGAGCCATCATAAATCACCCTGGCTGCCTTTAACTGGTGAAGCTGTAATTTTACAAGCTATTTGAGAAATAAAGACGTTCAAATTCATACATGATAAATTTTTTTGTTAATTTGCCTCCACCTTTTCATTTTTTTACGACTGTATTAGGTTCATTGACATTGGTAGAACATGAAAAATCTGATTCGCTCTTCAAGCTTCCCTATTCCTGCTGAAGGCAACAAGAAAGAAAATGGAGAGTAGTTAACTGTAGCAAAACAGCCCGGTAATAAAAGGATATGGCTTCCTCCGTAGGTGGGATTTTCCTACAGTAGCCACTGAGGCTGTAGCCAGAAGCAAATTGGTAACTGTGCAGCGAGAGGAGGGGGCAGCAGCTGAGATTCCCTCTGAGCTGGGGAACTCTGCTGAGATATTTTAATATACTAATTACAAACATTTAAAAAAATGCAGGTGGAATTTTGTTCTTATTCCTTTCCCTGGATGTACATTTGTGACCCAAATGTAAAACTTTTGAAAACTGCTGAAATGGAAGAGGTAACACAAAAAGGGGGTGGTGTAGGTACCTTAAACATCTCCTGGATTGCTAGGTTTTCTTTACTGAAGATCCGTAGAAGATACACTGGAGTGTGGATGCCTCATCCTGGTAAGCTTTCAAGCCTAGGTTGGATAGGGCCCTGGGCAACCTGATATAGTAAATAGCATCCCTGCCCATGGTCCCTTCCAACCCAAACCATTCTGTGATAGACAGGTTCCCAAGAACATTATGTTCCCCACAAAAAATAAAATACATGTTAATAAAGGCACCAGCTAATATACTGAATTAGGTTAACTCATCATGACCTTTAAAGAAACGAGAAATGTAAATGTAGTATTTTAAGTCCCGAGTCTCTGTTCTATCCCAGGCATCACACAGGTGCCTAAGCGTGCCTTGCAAAGCGGTTTGGTTTCCTTCCCTACATCTTCTGCTGTATCACAGCACCTGCTTGTACTGTCTGAGGGTTCACCTACCATTTGTGCTCCTCAGAACCCGGCCACAGGAGCTTTCACAGCACTAAAAGCCTTTTCTAAACAGATCTGGACTTGCTCAGAGCCATCTTCCAGTGCTCATAAGCCCTGCCAGGCCTGCTGGCCTACGTGTACTACAGTGCTGATGACACAGCCCCAGCTTTCGGATCCAAGCTGGCCTGTATCCAACCAGCTCAGGAGGGGAAGGAGCCCTGCTCAGACGGCCCTGTCACAGGCCACAGAGACGCAGCCAGGAAAAGCACTTCCAGTGTCCCCATGCCCACATCCAAGGTTCCCCTGGGGCCTGTCTTTACTACGAAAAAAGCTGCCTTTAATAATGTTTAACCAATCTTTTACAATTTTAATGTTGTCAAGCAGGTTGCACTCTTTGTCTCCTGATGTCAACACTCCTTATGTCAGATTCAGGAAAACCACCATCTATTGATCCTCTCCTTTAGGAAAAAGGCACACAGCTGTTACTGCAGGAAGAGGCCTTACACAGTCTCGGAGGAAAAATGGGAGATAGTGGTTCTTCACCTTGCAGAGGTCGGAATGGTTTTTCCTGCAGATACAAACCCCATTTCTTCTCTTTCAGCATAGCACCCTCTAGTGCCTTTCCCAAATCCTGGAAATGCATGGTCTGTGACTGCCTGAGCCCTGACCAGCTAAGGGTTTCTCTAAAGGGAAGGATTCAGTGCATTCAGTGCATAGAGCATTCCACTTCCATTTAGCTGGCATGAGTAAACGTGACTCTAGGTATGTCACTTCTGGTATAAAGAGCAAAACGTTCGACTGGAGCTATCCCACATGTAAATTCACAGGCAAGCAGCTGGGATCTGCTCTCCCTTGAATAGAGATGGTCTGCAGGATCTCACCCTAGAACTGGATCAAAGCTTTTCTAGAAAGCTTCTTTCATCAAGTCCAAGTAATAAAAGATTCACCACTTTTGCTGGTCAGTTTTAACACTTAAATCGCTTTAGTAATTGTAAACTCCATCTTAATTCAAGATCCAGCATGATCCAGCAAAATTTCAGCACGACACCCTTTGAAGATTCTCTGTGAAATGTAATCCTTGCTCCCTCAAACCTCATTGTCCCATCTAGGGGCCTACACTGGACAATAAAATTAACTCATGCTCTTCTTCTCCATGACAAACTGAAAAGACATAGATTTCTAAGCCTTTCACCTTAAGGCTTACGTTCAAACCCTGGATTATTTTTAAAGCCATTTTATATTTCATTCTTCTACTGTTCGGAACTGAAAATCACATCTGGGGAACAGCAAGGACAAGATCCTCCTTGTTTAGGATATCAGCTCTTTGGCAAAAACATGGTCAGAAGTGCACATGCCAACAACCAGATAGTGGTAAAAGCTGTGGCAGATGCTCTTCACAGCAGCACCTGTAAGCAGCAGAGGAGCGTTGGGTTTCTAAAGGTGGGAGCTAGGAGGGGTCCAAGGAAAGGATGTTCCTCTCTTATCTCATTCTCTCCCTTGTATGTTAAAGCACTGCTTTGGTTTCTTTAACCACATCCTAATACCAAGAGTTTTTGTGGAAGCAGTTGAGATTCAAGTCTCAATGGTCTACTGGTTTTCATGTTTACAACTTGGGGTTTATCACACTGAAGGCTCCTGGCTGTTGTCATCACACACATCCTTCACTGCTCTATATCTATCACCGAGCCTAAAAATCATTGCTGGTTGATTACTCATCTCTCCTAATGAAGATCTTCTGTTGATAATTTTAGCTCCTACTTCACCCCTTCCTATAAACCAAACCTATTTCATCCACAAGAATATTTTTATTTTTTCTGCCTCCCGTCCCCTGCCTTGTGCAACCACAGCTTTTGGGCAGACCCCTGGGGGTGCAAAAGCCCAGCTCAGCTCTCACAGAATGACAAAGTCACAGAATGGCTCAGGTTGGGAGGGAGCACAGTCGGTCATCTGGTCCAGCCTCCCCGCTCAAGTAGGGCTGTCCTAGGGCACATGGCTCAGGATTGCATCCAGATGGTTCTTGAATATCTCTGGTCAGGGGGAATCCACACCCTCTCTGAGCAATCTGTTCCCATGCAGGGTCACCCACACAGTAAAGAAGCTCCTCCTCATGTTCAGGTGGAAATTCCTGCGCATCAGTTTCTGTCTGCTGCCTCTTGTCCTACTGCTTGGAACCACCGAGGAGAGCCTGGCTCCATCCTCTTGATATCAGGATATAAATACCCTTTGGATGTTTATACACATTGATGAGGTCTCCTCTCAGTCATCTCATCTCGAGGCTGAACAGGTCCAGCTCTCAGCGTATCATCATGACAGAGACGATCCAGTCCCTCCATCATCTTTACTGCCTTTCTCTAGACCCGCTCCAGGACTCCCTGTCTCTGTTGTACCGGCGATCCCAGAACGGGATCCTGGTTCCCTGCCCGCGGCACCAGCACCGCCTGCACCTCGTTCCGGGGGTCGGGCAGGTTCCAGACCCCATTCCGGACGCCTGTTCAGGCTCTGCCCACGGCTCTCAGGATTAACGGGATGCGTTCCCGGGGCTCTCCCGCCGCCGGCCCCGCCCGTTCCGGCGCTGCGCGCGCAGCGCTCCCGCCCCGCTTCCGCCGAGCGGCCGCGCTTGCAGCGTCATCCCGGGGGCTGGTTTGAATGAGACCCCGAGCGGGGCCGGGACCCGCCGCCGCCGCCGCCACCCGCCCGCGCCGCCCGCCCCGCCAGCGCCGCGCCCCGCCGCCCTGCGCCCGGCACACGCCGCTCCGCCATGCCGCTCTTCTCAGGTGAGCGCGGCCCCGCCGGGCCCTGCCCGGGAGCGGGCGGGCGGTGCCCCGGCTGGAGCGGGAGCGCTCGCACGTGCGCGCCCATCCCGGCCGGGCCGGCGGCGGGAGCGCCCCGGGAGGCGCGGCCGGGCGGCGGAGGAGGGAGGGAAGGAAGGAAGGAAGGAAGGAAGGGGAGCCGGGAGGCGCTGCTGGCCTGGCCCTGCTGGTGAAGGGCGGGTGTCAATCGCGGGCCTTGGCGCTGCCCGGTCCCGGTTCTCTCTGGCTTTCCGCTAAAACATGAGCGGTGCTGTCCCTCTGGTGAGGCAGAGCTCTGCATCTGCGCCTCCCGGGTGTCTGCCTCCGCTCTTGGAAATCCATCATATCCTGGCGACTCCACTGAGCTGGAAATGCCCAAGTCCAACCTTTGACCAGTCAGCCAGACCAGGCCACCGAGTGCCGCATCCAGTCCTTTCTGAAACACCGCCAGGCATGGGGACCCCACCACCTCCCTCCCTGGCCAGCCCATTTCAATTCTAATCACCCCTTCCGTGAAGAAATTCCTCCTCATGTCTAGCCTAAACCTAAAGTTAAAGCTTTCTTAGATTACATCTCGTCCTGCTGGCTCTTCTTGCTGTGGGGAAAGGTTTCCGTGGAAGACTTGAGGAACAAAACCTCCAGTGACATTTCTGGGACCAGTTACTGCCTCGATAATATCTCACCCATCTGGCCTAGTTGGGCTCTTCAGTTTTTTAGGTCGTATGTCCTCAGTACACAGTTTGTCCACTATTTTGGCTGTGGTTAGCAAACTGGGATCCTTATGTCAGTGTAACAGGATTTCTCCTGAACTCATCCAAATCTAGTGAAGTCTCCCTCACTGGAGATATTCAGGAATGGTCTGGGCACAACCCTGCTCGGGCAGTGAGGTTGGATGAGATGACTCTCTGTGGTCCCTTCCAACCTGACCTGTGCTGTGAAGTGTATGCGCTGCGTTTTCTGATTAGCAGGGAAAATACGTCCTTCCTTTTTCTTACTTTCCATTGTTTTCAAATTTACGAGTTTCTCTTTTATTTTGCACAAAGTCTTGGTTGCAACCTCTGAAGAGAAACTCATGCTCTTCCAGTCTTCCTCTTCAGTGCCGTGTTGTCGAAACCGATGACACTACAGATTAGTAATTGCTAACTCTTCTGCATATTTAGCAGTGGATGCATGACTGTTCAAAAATTCAAACCCAAAAGTCTGTGCAGCTGACTTGTTCAGTGACTGACTGGGTTGTCTTCCCGGAAAATGGGAAAAGCTTTGTGCTTCGTAGGTCTTTAAATATGCAAAATAATAAATGCGTTTTTTTAAAAAAATCAGAACATTGGGCAAAATAGATGCTTACTGTTAGAAATACTGAAAAGTTAGTAATTTGAGTTCCTTTGTAGACTAATTTATTCTAACTCATTTAGACTTGCTTTTGTTTATTCTGTGATATTACACATCGGAAGCATTGCATACATCTGAAATCTGAACCTTTTTAGAAGGGTTTTCAAAATTATGACTTCTAAGAGTTGTGTGTTTTGAAAAGGTATGGTTGCTATAGTGTATTTATGTAAAACCGAATCACGGTAGAACAATGTGGCTTTCCTAAAGTCTGGTATTTCAGCCACTTACTGTGCATGTAGGATATTGCTGCGTGTTATATTTTACAGATTTTCAGTAAAATCCCAGCTTGCTAAGGAAGCTTTATGTACCTATGTTAGTTCCTGGAAGTGGTCAAAGGTATGTCACTGTTCTGTAGAGGCAAGAGCTTATTCCAGACATTTTTTGTCTGCTCTTGTTCATTACTAACCTCACCAAAGTGAAGTTAACATTCCATTGTGCCATTCTGCCTCCCGTTTCTGCTGGGCACCCCATTTCCAGCGTTGAGGTTTATACTTTTTGTGACCAGATTTCACTCTGCTTTTTAATTCCAGTCCTACACCTTTACTGGGGTCAATAGCTTTGCTTTTAAAGAGCACAGCATTGTTTTCCTCTGAAGGAGAACGGAAGTGCTACGGATAGCTGAGCTGGAATCGCACCTCTGAACTTCCTTCAGAAAGTTCAGTTGTTTGCAACAAGCAGTGCCAAGAGAATGGGAGAGTTGGTTCCAAACTGCTTCTGTGAAGACCTGTTAAAGGGTTTCTGATGCTTTTAGACACACTTATTGCTTGCAGAGTTTCTCAGTATGTATGTTACTTCAGTGGTTTTGTATGATATTTCTATATCCGCTGGAATGGTATGTTCTGATGGTTGAGGTGCCATACAGTAAAGGCATTCCCTGGTTTCATTATTGACAATTTTAAGAGTCCAAAACAATGTTTTGAGGTGGTATGAAGTCTTGGTCGTCTTGATAATTGCATTCTTGGGTATTAGGAAATAATCAAGTTTCAAAATATTTTGCTTGCAGTTAATGTGAAGTGGGGAAAAGAGAAATTCGATGGCGTGGAGCTGAACACTGACGAGCCTCCAATGGTCTTCAAAGCCCAGTTATTTGCACTGACTGGAGTTCAGCCAGCTAGACAGAAGGTTATGGTTAAAGGAGGAACTCTGAAGGTAGGAATCAATTTTTTGTATTATGTCTAACCTTGTTATGTGTTACCAATGACCATGATTCTGGTTGTTCCTCCAAAAGATCTTCGGTTGCATGTGTTAAACTGACTGTACTTTTTGACTCATTTATACAAAGAACAGCTTGGTGGAAGGCTTTTTTTGTTACTTTTTTATGTTCAGAATCGGAATGCAAGTTTTTTTCTTTCTGGCTTGTTTAAGAGAAGTTTCTCTGGTGCTTCTCTGCTGGAGACTTACTGGGGTAATGAGATACAGGCAATTTTGCTGCAAAAAGTTGTTTACATTTAAGCAGTGTTGAACAGCCCATGAGAAAGCTCTTTGAAAACAGAACTTGGCTGCTTTTTGTTCTTAGACTTGATAACATGTAAATAGTTAATATTGTGTAATCTTGGATGAAACACAATTATATATTTAGAAATATGTGATTAATATTAATGAAAATACTTGCTTATCTCTTGCTGCAAGATAATTAACTTGTCATTTACTTTATTTCACAGGATGATGACTGGGGGAACCTAAAAATAAAGAATGTAAGTTCTGAGCAGTAACTAAATTTTACTATTCAGATTTTTTATTTTGCATTTAAAGAAAGACTTGAAAGTGCTTGATGTTTCTGTTTGAATAGGCAGTGCTTCCTTAAAAAGTCATACCTTGATGAAAAATAATTTTATAGGTATCACATGTAAGCATGCTTAGAAAGGTCTCACCATTGATTTATAAAAAACCCCCTTTTTTTTTGTATTAGTAGGGAAATCATACCATCTTTTCTGGATGCACATATTTTATTTATTTCATACAAGAAATGTAATGGATCAGAGCAGTGCTGTCCTATCTGTGACCATAAAAAGAAGTGATGTTATGTAGAAGGAGCTGGTGAGCCTGGGCACTGTCTGCAGACCCTTGTCATTGCACATCCCCAGCATGGACAAAAGTGTTAGTGATGCTGAAGTTACACCTCTGCTTATGTCCTTTTCTACCAACCTGCTGAAATGTGCTCTCCTGTGTTAAATAGCTGCTGTTTTTAAACAAAGCCATTAGTAATGGTAGTTCATACCTTTGGCTAGTTAAAAAAAAAAACAAACAGAAAGCAAATGTGTTTGTGTTGCTTGCCTATATAATGTTGCACCAGGGAATCCCACGGGTTTTTATTTGGTTTATTTTTTTTTGTGTCATTTTCATTACTGTATGTCCCTTGCAACATCTTGTAACAGCTGTTACAGGTTTTACTCCAGTTCTTCACTGGACAGATTGAATTAGGTAGCATTGCTCTTACCCTTGTAACTAGTTTGCAAGCACCTGTTAGCAGCCTGTAGCTGCAGCTATTGTAGCAAAGTTATTCAGCCAAAAACGCAGTACATAATATTCTTGTCTTTTTGTGTATGTGGTTGTGCTAATAGCTGCCTTTATTCATTTTAATAATGTTATGTACAAGTTCTAGGGATTTATTTACACTGTCAAAGCAGTTTCTCTTTGTGCTGTTGTTCATCCTTTTCCTTAGCACTGTATGTTTCAAGGTTCCAGATAGTAATTTTCTCCTCCTTTGACAGATCTTATTGTGTAGATGTGCTCCTGTTAAATGCTGAAAGACTCCATTTCATATTATGAAATGTTCCATTGCTAGTTCCTATGCTAGTTCAGCAAACGTGGAAACCTGATTGGCTTTTTTTTTTTTGCCCCTTAAATGCTAGTTCTTCTGTCTAAACTGATGTGGTAGTTTAGGTTATTTTTCACTTTTCAACTAGTTTAACCCAGAACTTGCCAGGCAAGCTCACCAGATATTTCAGTGGAAACATCTAGCATGAATAATTCTGTTCTCAGTAGGTACTTCCTAGATATGAGGAATTGACGTACGCCCTAAAGCCACAGTAGTGCAGTGTTGGTTCTATTAAACTAAGGGAAAAACTGTGTTTATTTTTGGGGAAATAGCTGAAGTGTGTTAAGAGAGCTTAAGGGTTTGAGTGGCAATAGCTGTCCTTAGATACTCATTGCTGTGTTTACTGTGTTTCAAGGGGATGACCTTGCTAATGATGGGTTCCGCAGACGCGCTTCCAGAGGAGCCGATCGCTCGTCCCGTCTTTGTGGAGGACATGACAGAGGAGCAGTTGGCTTCGGCTGTAAGCATGGTTCCAACTCTGGTTTCTTGTTGACCTTCCAGTAATGCCAGTTTATTAAATACTTGCAGTTGCTTAAAAGTGAGTTTTGAAGCTCTAGTGTCTGTTTAGCATCTTCACCAAGAATTGCGAATTTACATCAATGACCAAACTGGGAGCAGTGAAAAGACGTCTGGGATTTAATGTAAAAATCATACAATTAGTGCTGTTTTTCCTTTGAGCAGGCAGCTTAGTATATTTTCTAAAAATAGCATTGCTGATGTTTTTAAAGATGAAGTTGTATTGCCCTTGCTGCATCAGTGTCCCCGTAATTTGTCTAAACAAGGCCTCTTAGATATGCAAAATTATTTCCTGCCTCTTTCATCTCTATGAGGAGAGACTAGGATTTGTTTTGGGGTGAGGTGTATTTGGGGTTTTGTTTGTCCATGTTACTAGTGTTAGGTCAACTTTGTGAAAAATGAAAATAAATTTGATACGCATGTTTTGCTTTGTGGAAGTAAAGTCTGAAAGAGCATAATTGATCTATTATTTTCTTAATGAAGTAACTCCTGAGTTTCCTTTTGTACAACTTCAAAGGCTTAATTTTCTCACCAGTCATTTGAACTGCAGGCTTTGTCATACTTGACAGTTGCATGTTTGTTGTCAACTGTGCAGACAGAGCAGGAATACTTTTATGCATGTCTGTATGAAAAAGGATCTGTAGTTCGGCACTGGGTTTGTGCTTCAGGATTTAGTGCTTTCCAGGCCACTTGCAGGTGAAGGATATTTATGTATTTTTTAGGAACCCCATACACAGACATTGAGATAACTGAGAGGCAAGCAAGGAGGTGTTTCGCTGTCAGATAACATTTCGAAAAAGTTGATCACATGGCAGTTTTGTTACACATCAAAATTCAATTGTCTTCAGTGCATGTATTCACTTGTGAGATATGCTAAATTAGTTCTCTCTTCCTAAAATAATCTACTGGTGTTGGTATGTAGTACTACTTCAGTTTCATTAAACTGTGTGTTTTTCCCTGAAAAACACCTAAGTATTCAGGATTTTAAAAAAAAGAAAAAGAAAAATTACATGGTGATTTATAGTTACTTCTAAAACTGGTTAGCTTACTATTAGTTGGCCTTCACATTTGTCAAACTTTAGAAATTCACAGGTTGTCTGAAAAGATCAAGTTAATGGTCTGTTGCAGATTTCTGGAGAGGAATTTAAACAATGCTTTTGTTTCCAACTAAGAGCTCCATCATTTTCAGAGTTTTACTGAAAACTCATTTTAATTAAAACATCAGTGTTTTGTACAAATGTATTCATGTGGAAATTTCACAGAAATAGAATTTTAAGGTCAAAACTTGGATGGGATTATAATTGAACTTTCTGAATGATTGCATGCTTGAAGAATATGTTCATTAAACTAAACATGCACAGAAAAAACCCCAAAGCATTCCTGAATGTTCCCTAAAAGTATCAAACAATGTAACGATAAATATAATCATAAAGTGGATCTAGAAAATCTCATAAAGTTTGATGGAATATTCCAGGTTTTATGCATAATTCATTTGCTTAGAAGTTGATGTCACATTATAGTGTTTGTATGAAAACGTTTGCCACATCTCTCTGACCTTCAAGTACCCTTGTGAATTTTTTTGGTAGATGGAATTGCCTTGTGGATTGACAAACCTTGGCAACACTTGCTACATGAATGCTACAGTTCAGTGTATCCGCTCAGTGCCAGAAGTGAAAGAGGCCCTTAAAAGGTAGGATCCAGGACAAAAATACCGTGACTAAAATGTTTTCTTTAGCTTATGAAGTAGATATTTTGCAGAACGGTCATCTTAATATTGGTCTGAATTATCATAACAATCTGTTACTCTTTTGGTCTATTCGAGATTAACATAATGATCAATTGAAGTTTGTCCTATGGCTGTGTTAGTCTGTACTTTAATAAAGAAGTTAAGGCTTTGTGGTTTTTGGAACTGGCTTTTAATAGAGAGAATGTGTTTTACTTAGCTAGAAAGTAGTTCCTATCAAGACCAGTTTAAAATTCTAAAATAAGCTACTGAACTCGTAACCCTGTTTTTTTTGCTGTTAGTTTTTATGGTCTTGTTCTGCATAAAAGAATCATATGGGAGTCCTGTTCCTTTGAGGAATATTTCCTGCAATGGCTCTATTGCACAGCATTTTCAGCTGTGAAATTCTGGAATTTGCTGCTTGGAGATAGATACAGCAGGAAGTTCTAAGATATACCTTCATGGAATTTTGTTTTGTTTTCTAATTTGTTCTGATTGTAGGATAACTTTTCTGATTTTTGTTTGTTTTTGTTATTCTAGACTGAAATGTGAAAATGGCCAGTGGTTTTTTTTTTTCTTTTTGTTGGTTGGTTGTTTTGTTTTGGTAAGGAGTATACAAGAAACTTGAAAGTTATGAATATTGAAGGAAAAAAGAGTACCTGCCAATGTGGCCTGAATTTGTCCTCCAGATGAACTGTAGCGAGAAAATAATGAGTATTTTTAAAAAGTGAGAATTATGTAGAGCATTATTGCTGTTTTAGGGTTAATTTAATTCCTTTAAAATACACTGCTTTCTTGCTTCCGTGGTACCCAGCTGGATATTCTGTATTACTGTAATCACTTGTTATTTAAGTGGTTATAAATAGTTTTTCATTCTGTTAGCAGGTGAATGTTAATTATTAAGCACTAAGAACTATTGGTGAAGTACAGAAATTTGGTTTCAGGGAATTTTATTGACTATCAGTATTATCATTTTTGGAAAGTCTGTTTATTTCCATGTGAAAGACTCTTGAGTTACTGCACTGAATCAGATTATTTGACAAATTTAACATACCAAGAGGCAAAGTGTAGCCTTATGAAACTGGAAGACTGCAATACAAGATGTGGCCGTATTGTCTGTGGGAAGTCAGATTCACACTCTGATTCAAGCTCTGTTTTTCCCTGGAGATTTAGCCTTTTTTTTGGTCTTCCCTCCTTGATGACAGCGTGGAAGGCTGTAGGGTGCATGGCAGTGGGAGAGGTGTGAAAGGACTCGCTTGGGAAAGCTGTTACAGCTTCTTCCCTTGTGAGCTCCTCCCTGCTCTGTAGCGTGTCAGGGGAAAGCTTCCTGCTCGTCATCTAGCAATGGTCAGAATTTCAAAAGCTCAGTCCAAGATTAGAGAATGTGTGAGACCCTCTTTTTGCTTGAAGGCTTTGGGGAGTTCATCTGTTCCTCATCCAGCTGGTAAATTAAGAATTCAAAGAAGAGTGGCAAGTTCTTGTCATGTAAGTGGACTCCCACACCTTTTCAGTGTAGGAAATACTTCCCCAAGAAAACATCTCACCTCTCACTGTTTAGCTTCTGCTGTAGAGAGAGGAAGCAAGCCTGCCCTCCATCTCTGTGCATTTTATCTGCCATCTATCTTTGAAGTTTTTGGGTTTTTTTTTCCCATATATCTGAAGAAACCATGGCAAATGTTTCAGAAGTGGAGTAGCCTTTGTTCAGACTTTCTCAGTCTCTTTAAAAATAAGTTTTTGAGGCAAAAGGATTCGGGAAGCAGCAGTGATGTAGCCAGACATCTTGGTCTGCCTTTACTTGCTGTCTGAAAGATGCCAGCTTTCCTTTGCTTCCATGCTTGCAAAATAGCTGAAACTTTGAGGTAAATGTGAGTGAATCTTACCTTTGGTTACTTCTGGCTTGGTGATAGATTTCCTTTAAATGAATCTAGCTGCTGCCTGCTTCAAAAACCCAACTGTCCTTCCTGTTTGTGTTTAATTGCATGCAAATTATTTTTCTTCTCTTTTAGGTATGGTGGTGCCTTAAGAGCTTCAGGAGAAATGGCCTCTGCTCAGTACATTACTGCAGGTTGGTGTTTAGACAAGTGTGTGATTTCCTGCTAAATGCAGATGAAATTTGCAGTTAAAACTCTGTGTATTGTTCTTTAGTGCATATGCCTTAGAAATGTCGGATCTGCTGGCACTGGAGGATTCATTTTGTCTATAAAGGTTATTCTGCCCCTGCCTGCAAAGCATTTATCTCTGCACATTATCAGGTGCAGGCTAGGAAAAAGATACTGATGTGTGATCTCGGCTTAGATAGAAACAATTTGTATCTCTTAAATATTTTACATGTAGGCATGAAGTAATTGGAACTTCCTTAAGCAGATTTCATCCATCCATCTGTTGATTTGATCACTCTATGTAGAAGTATTTTAGTTCTTTGTTTCATGCAGTGGTAGGCTAACACCATACTCCTGGGATATGTATTTCATAGGTATTTTTTAATATAATTTATTGACTGAGCATTATTGCTATGATGGAAACTGATGCTTTATCAGTGGTCTTAGCCTTTGCCCTAAAGATCCAGATTTCATAACTGGAATGGAAAGGAGGGTCTTCAAAACAAAAGTTGCTCTTTGTTGTGGTGGTCTGGGAGCTCACGGTGGCCCCATATCTTCAAGCTCTAACTAGAGTTCTAGTTAGACCCCTCACACTTGAACAAGGGTACTACTTGTCCGCTTTTTCTTTTTTTACTTTATTTCATTGCCCCACTAAGATGCTGGGCCAGGACACTGGGATTTCTACCAGTCCATTTAAGGAAAAACAAAACAATATAAGGAAGGAAAGGTCCAGTTTGTGGGTATGCCTGCTGATCGAATTTTGGGGTGGTAAGTTCAATGGTTACTCTGTACAGCCATGCCTGCCCCTCCCCTTTTCACTGCCTTTACTTCGTGTCCCTTGTTTTCTTTTTAAGGTGACAGCTCTGCTTCTTAGGAATTTCAATAGTTTAAGTAATTTATAGTAAATTCTTGGGTGCTGAGCTGTTCAGGAACTCCTGCATGACACTTATGGCATTTTTTTTTAATTGCTGTGTCATATCAGTTGCACTTCTTATCAGGGTCAGTGAAGACATTTCTGAAAGAGGAAGCAACTGACCTTGGTTCCCTGTAATCTTGTCTATATTCACTTACTCGAGACAACAATTCATTAGTCTCTTCACTTGTAAACTAGTGACCATACAGATTGTTGCCTACCTCACAGGGTTGTTGTGAGGATTAATAGGTGCCTTTGAAATGATCTGTGGATTTAAAATGCTGTAACTTGGGTAGATAAGACATATGCTAGAGTATGGAACAAAAAAGAAAGCCATGTGTGTTGTCATGCAGTCAGTATCATCCATTGGATTGCACATAGTTATGAGCTCTCTGCACATATGCATATACATACTTGTTTTCCTGGGTCTTAAGCATGGGTATTTCCTAGATATTTTATTAAAGTTTTTTTTTGTTTTCCTAGTAGCTGGTGAAACTTAAGTTGCTCTAGAGGATAGATTGTGAATGCCTTCTGGTTTCTCTTGTGAAAACGTTGTTCCTCAGATGTGTTCCAAATGAAATCTTAATTGCTCAAAAAAAAATTTTTTTTCCTGTTAGCAGCCAGGAAAGACAAGGCATTATGTGCCAAATTCTCAGAATTGCCATTTTCATGCTTTCAAAGTCGTGTTCACAAACGAGATCTTAGGTGCACCTGTAATGCCACCTGGAAAATTTGGTTCTGCTTTGGAAAGATCAAATTGGACACTGTTAAATGATCAGTCTTTAAATGTTGCTGCTGTTTTACTATTCTTTGTACACTTCCTGCCATGTTTGAATTGTTTTTGCACTTCTCAAAGCATTCATTTACTTTTTCTTCAAGCTCTTAGAGACTTGTTTGATTCCATGGATAAAACTTCCTCCAGTATCCCACCTATCATTCTCCTGCAGTTTTTACATATGGCCTTCCCACAGTTTGCAGAGAAAGGCGATCAAGGCCAGTACCTTCAGCAGGTAAAGACCAATTATTAGCTTATTGTTTAAAATTCTATAGTATGTTGGAAATTGAAAACAAGAACAATTTAAGACTTTCCTTCTCTTGTGAAAATAATTCTCTCAGTAAAGTGGGGTGGTTTTTCTGTAGAAAAGTTGTATAGAAATTGAACATAATATCAAGTGCTAGTTTTGAGAATGCATGGTGGAATTGGGAGAAATTCTTAGTTAAGGAATCCTCACATTTAGCTTTATGGTTGATGGGTTTAATGTTACTAAATTATAATGTTAGTAGTCAGATTTAATGTTGTGTTCCCTTCCTAGGATGCCAATGAGTGCTGGGTGCAGATGATGAGGGTACTACAGCAGAAGCTGGAAGGCATAGAAGGTGATACAGTTATGGAGGTAATTGTAGTCTTACTCTAACCAGAATAAGGATTTATAGTATTTCATATATGTTTTGTTAGGTGTTACCTGTTTGTGAGTTCTTTAACATGTGTCTGGAGTCCAGCATGTGAAATTACTTTCTGATGTGTCTGATCAGCATAATGCTACCATGGTCCTGTCAGCTAAAGGAAACTCTTCCATTTGGGCATTGTAGGACAGTGTTGGACCAAGCTGGTGGTGACACCCACTCACATGTATGACAGCAGTCCCTGAATACCTGTGAATTCAGCACATAAGAACTTTTTTTTTTCTGAAAAAAGGGTGCTACGGTTTTAACTTGAACTGTTTCAAACAGACAGCTAACCGAATCAACCTGAGACAGTAAATTTTACCAGAACAGCTTTTCTCTGTAAACTGTTTTCTGGAGAGTCTTGGAAGAGCCTTGGAAGACTATCCTGAAACTTAAGATAGATTTAAGTTGGGGGGCCAGGGATTTGTGAGTTTTTGATCTTGCTTGTTAATGTGCTTCAGTTTGGTTTTAACAGCATGTTATAAGTGTATTTGTTTTGAAACTTCTATGTGGTGTAAGAAGATTGACTGACTAGGAAAAAAATGCACCTGTAAAAAGATGAAGGAATAGGCTTTAAAGAATATAAATCAATTGGGTTATTTTGTCTTTAGAAAAGACTGTATTTGCATTCTATCTAAAGTTATATCATAAGAGATTTTGTTTTACAGACAGACTCTGGAGCTACAGCAGCATCCTCTAAAAAGAAGAGTTTAATTGATCAGTTCTTCAGCATTGAATTTGAAACAGCGTATCCTAAAGACTAAGGCAAGACATAAACAACGATGATTTCACACTTCAGAAGTTGAGTTCAGGGAGGATGAAAAGCATTGTTCAGAACAGTATGGAAAATGAAGGCGTAGGTTGGGGAAGAGGGTCATGATGTTGTGCAGGAGTACACAGAATTTAAGATTGGATATGCTCTGAGAGAGAGGATGATGTGGAGAGAAAGAATGATAATGGAAATTTACAGAAAAAAAACCCTTGTTGAGTTTCTGTAGCTGATTCCCTCCCCAGAAAAGATTGGTACTTACCAACTTCAAGAATGCTGACAGGCTTTGTCCAGCTAAAATAATTGTTGTCCTAAATAGGCTTTTTTGGCTTGTAGGGGTGTGTTGCTGACATTCCTGGTGTACTAAAGATGCACAAAAGGTAGCTTGATTGACTTCTTAAGAAATAAATTAGGTTTCTACTCTTGTATAAGTAAGAAACAAATGCAGCTAACAACTCTCTAGTAGGTTCTTTATAGCAAGAAAAAGAGCATATGACCACATGGGGCACACATCTCATGGCAAGTATTACTCTTTTCCTGTTTCTTCACCCCAAAATCCTATCTGTCATCAAACTGAGCACCACTTTTAAGAAAGAATTATACACTGCATTTTGTTTGTGTGAAATAAGGAAACATCCCCTTAGATGAGGTACTGTCTCATAGCTTGGTAGTAATGAGGAATAAAGGCCTTTTTTAAGGTAAGAATCATGCATCTCTCTCCTTCTGCCATGACATTTGTTATCCTAAAATAGCTGGAAGTCTCGGAATGTGTAGCTAAGAGGAATGGTGCATAGGCCAGTATCAGCAAGAAGACTTGTTAGAAGAGTTGCAGACTTTCAAAGTGTGATTACAGCAGCATTTGTAGAATAGCTGCAGTCAGAAAAATACCTGTTTGGAAGGAGATGGATGGCAGAAAAGCATTGGGGTAGAAATATGAGAAGAGGAGAGGACAGACAGAACAATTAAAAGGAATGTGTAGAAACTAATGAAGGAATTTCATTTCAGTGAAGAGGACAGATACAAGGCAGAGAAAGGACATTCTGCATGTTGAAAGAAACAGGAAATCTGGCCAGCAGCAGCAATAGAAGAACTTTATTAATCATAAACAACAATGGAGTGTAATCTTGCAGGAGGGCTTTGTAACTGGGTGTTGGCAGCCAGCTATTGTGTTCTGTGTCCTGGGGCTTGGGTGGTGATGGGGGAGAAGAAAGAAAAAGCAGGCCTCAGCTTAACTGGTGATCAAAAACTTTACTTTTTTTGGTGTGCTGTCTGCCTCCTCTGCCCCTTGTCCTTAGCCACAAAGGAACAGATTGGTCTGAAGGAAGGGTTCCTTCAAATCTTTTTTGTACTATGAGAAGTAAAAGTACTGTCTACACAAGCACAGAATTACCTAAATTACTGTGTAGAGAAGTAGTTCAGCTCTTGGTGCGTGATGGTTTTCCTTAATTTTGTGAAGCATGAAATGTACAGAAGCTGAAGAAGAAGAAGTAACTAAAGGAAAAGAGAATCTCCTTCAGCTTAGCTGCTTTATCAATCAAGAAGTGAAATACCTGTTTACAGGACTAAAATTGGTAAGCTATTGCAACTTTTATTGAATTGAAATTCTAAATGGCCTGTGTATTTTTCAATCGAAATTCTAAGTGACCTAAATACACTTAATTCTAAGTGTATTAAATCCGTGACTTGGAATTGACATCTGCTGTCCAAGCTTTACAAAGCTTCAGGAATCCTTTTGGTGTTCATTGGGAAGATGGCTGTGAAAGAGAATTGCATGCTGATGTCAAACAGACTTCAGTGTTTTCTTGACCCTGACGTGGTTTTCCCCATGCAGCTAACCAAATGCAAGGCAGTTTGCTGCTCATTTGTTCAACTGGCATTTACTCCAGACTGAGCAGTGACATGATTTATGCAGCAATCAGTTCCCAAAAGGTCCAAAAGTCAACTTGAAAGTAGGGTGGCATTTTGGTTCCTGGTTAAAATCCCCCCAGATGATGTAACAACTAAATTTGATTTTGCAGATTTTGAAGGGAGTGTTATTTTCTGTCAGACAACATCATTCTCCAACTTTTTAAAGTAGAACTTCTTAAGGTAGCCTGTACTTTATATGCATGTACGTATTTTGAAATTGTAAGGACTTTTTGGGGAGTGTGAAGTAGAAACAAGAGGAGGAGAGGAAAGGAGCTACTGCAAAACCTTTGTAGTAACTGTGTAAGACTAGGGCAGTGATCTGGTTTGTACAGGACTAAAACCAAGTTCCATGATTCTCAGATAATCTTTGTATCTCTTTGTCATCGTGGTTTTTTTTTTTTTTCTAACAGACTTTGGAAGGAAAACTAGGATAAAATAGCTAATGGTCACAAATAAAAAGACTGTAAAAAAAGTAACTTCACTTTTCAGGCCAAAAAAAATCTACAATTCTTATGCTGGATTGCCTGGAGCAAGAAAATTGCAACACTAAGAACCACGCTAGTCTTTCCTGGAATTTTGTTAGGAGACGCCAGCTGTCACTTTAGATGCAGATCTGGCTGCTTGAAACTGAGAGCTGAAGAAAATTTGCAAATTTTTTTCTCACAGGAAACTTCAGATTTTCTTCAGTTGCGTTCCAAGCATGATATGATACATTTGTAACCAAGTCCAGATACAATTCATAATAAAATCCAATTGTGAGTTCTACTCCTGTGGAGCACAGTTTTCTGCAGAGAGAAGCTCAGTGTTGTCAGGACTCAGGAATGAGCCTGGAGCTGAAGGAATGAATGGGCATGGTCCTTTCTGCCAAGCAGTTTCAAAATCCTCTGTGTTGTAATGGCTGACAGCAACAGAAGAGACTGGCAGAACAAGATTTAGTTTATGGTTTGTTTACCCCTGTTGTGCTTTTCTCTAAGCTGTGTTTTATGATGAACATGTGTTCCTTCTTCTTCTCGTAACAGCGTCTTCAGGAGGAAATCACCAAACTCTCTCCAACGCTGCAGAGAAATGCACTCTATATCAAATCTGTGAGTGGTACTTTCGTTGCTCTTCATTATTCTTTTAATTGTCAGTTTTCTGTTCCAAACCACAAAGTTATTGCTGCAACACTATGTGATTTATGCTTTTTATAAAGCATCTGAGTATCCACTACCAAGAAATTTAAGACAGAGCTTCAAAAAAGGAGACCTTGTTTTATTCCTGTGGGTTTGTGTGCAAGTATATTCCCAGAATAGACTGTAATTTAGGATGACCAGTGTTTAAGATAAAAAAGATCTGTGAATATTTAAGGTAATAGCTTTTTCTAATTTTTTTTATAGTCCAAAATTAGTCGCTTGCCCGCGTACCTGACTATTCAGATGGTTAGATTTTTTTACAAAGAGAAAGAATCTGTGAATGCAAAAGTTCTTAAGGTAAGTTTTCTGCATATTGATGTTTAATTCCTCTTTATGTTTTCTGTGAGTTTTTATTAAAGGTAGACAACGAGGACTTGAAGACTACTTAACTAAATTGTTTTCTTTTAAAATGCATTTGAAAACATTAACAGTGCAGTTTCTTTGCTCAAGTACAAAGTAGTTTTGTTCCCAGCTGTGATGGTGTGGCAAACTACACTACCCAAAATAGACTGAGGAAGGAGATGTGAGGGGCAGAAGTGAATTTGCCCCAGTACTGCTAATATTACAGGATGACAATAAACAAGATGTTTTTGGTCATTTCTCACCAGTGGTTCTGAGAAGAATGTTTAACTAAGGAGAGAGCCGTGCTTTCAAACTGTTTGAAAACAGTGTTCTAATGTCTATGGGAGATGTTTTTGCTGTCAAACACTTCCTGTTACTAGTTGTTTTAATTGTCTGGCTTTCTGATGGACACATGCAGGAACCAGCTGCAAACAGCTGAATGTTCTGGTTTTGCATTCTGTGGGTTGTGGCTGACAGACCTCGCAGGCTGCCCGAGGAGCATCATGATAGATTCTCCTTCCTTACAGGAGGAAAAAGGAAATAAAGACTGAAAGTACATGTTAACTATTTCAGAAGATAGTTTGGATAGCAAAATTGACATTTTTGCCAGGGTGCAGTCATTCTACATGCCTGTGTCTTTTTTTCTTTTCCCTTAGGTCTCTATAGGTATTTCCATAGTGTAAAAGTATGACAGCTAACAATAAAGAATCTGATACATTCATTATTAGTCTGAGCTGAATGTAATAATTTATAGTGGTTTGTTTATATTGAATTAGTGTAGCCCTTTTGGAAAAGACTGTTTCCAGAATCCCAGTACGTCAGGTTGAGATCAGGTTGCATTTAGATTGTGTTGTCTTCCCATGGGGGAATGCTTTAACATGGAGTACCAAATCATGCTAATAAATTTTTGTGTTTTACTCCTAGGATGTCAAATTTCCTCTTATGTTGGATGTGTATGAGCTGTGCACACCAGACCTACAGGAAAAAATGGTTTCTTACCGATCAAAATTCAAAGATTTAGAGGACAAAAAAGTAAATCAACAGCCAAAGAATGTGAGTTTCCTGACACTTTCACTAACTCATACATGTGGAATTGGGGTACTAATGAGGACTAGAGAAAACTTGCTCTCCTTAAATATATTATTTTCTTACATAGCAAATTCCTTGGTATTGAGCTTTAGATCTTTTTATCCTGTATTTTTATGAAAATACAGTATCTGCTTTGGTGTGTTTGCTTGATGAGAAACATTAAATGCTGTAGTCAAGGCAGCATGTATGAAATATATTAAAATGTGATGCTTCTGTTTACCAGTGCTGTGCCTAAAGGTTTTGTGTGACACAAGATTACTCTCTTCATATATTACTGTTTGCAAGCTGCTCCCTTCTTCAGTGGAGTGTAGGAAGCTGTTCCCTGCTCAGCAGTTGGAAGGGGTTGTACAAGGCAATGCTATGTGCCTGACTGGTAAAAATTAGAGTACATGTGCTGGTGAGCTTAAAATCAGCACTATAAAAACTTGGAAAATGGTTTCATGTCTTATCCTGTCTACATAATTCTAACACTGACTTCCCCGTCTTTAATGAAGACAAAAGTAAATGAGCTAAAACTGTAGTGTTTTAGCCGTTTTTTTAAAGTTTGCTGGTATTCTTCCTGGCTTAACTCCTGGCAAATTCTTTTAAACATTCAGATGAGGCTTGCATCCCCTCTTACACAGATGGGAGCAAGGAAAGAATGCTATTTTTGAACAGAATGTATTGGCACTGAGAGTCAGTCTCTGGTATTATTGCCACTTCTGCTGCTAGCAATCCTCCACCAAGGAATACATCTTACAATTGCAGAACTGTTTCATAAACAAACCCATTAATCTTGTGGGTGAACACTGCAGGCAGTATGTGCTAAAACAGTTAATATATTTGCTTTAAAACTGGTCTTCTTCAGATAAGGCTTTTCTATGTCCACCTAAAAAATACAGTAATGAACTTCTCTCAAGTTGAACAAAAATGTTTAGACTTAGAAATGTATTTAAATGAATGGAGACTTGAGATTTGATGTAATTGTGCTAGAGCTTTTATTAAGCTGTTCCACATTAATTCAACTTTCTTTTTTAGTCTAGTAAAAGTGATGGTGCACAGAAAGAAGTTAAATATGAACCATTTTCTTTTCCTGATGGTGAGTACAGGGAAGCAAATCTACTTTAAAGTAACTTTCTATTTACTTGTGTTTAAGTGTACCTGATGGTAGCACTTTTTTTTGAGAACCCTGTCTCTTCAGTGCTTTTGAAAATTAATCTTCAAAGACTGACAGGAGTGGAAAGATTAGGTAAACCAAAACGTTGAGATAGTGTGATGCATAATTGCCATCCATCTGACAAGCTGGTGATAACAGAAGAGAGGCATATCAAAAGACATTTGCATGTAATGTGCAGTTGTTTTGCACACTGCTTTGTCAGTGGGTGGTAGAAGTCTGAAATCAAAACAAAAACTTAAACTGGACTTCTACAAGTGCTGTGGTGGTGCTAGTGTTGCCTCAGTTTTTTGGGGGGGGGTTGGGAGTCTGAAGGCCCAAAGCATTCACCCTTGTGCATTACATCAGCAATATTTATGGGTACATGTTTATTTCATGAGAATGCACAACATCTTCAGTTTCCTGAGACTCTCCTAGCTGAGAGTTGCTGCTGTTAGTTCACAATGGTTTTGTACCATTTTGTACCTGTGGTTTTACACACAGAGCTATGGTGCTGCAGCCTGGCTGATACATCTTTGTCTGTGAGCTGTTAAAAATACTGCAGCTGTTTAAGTAGGACTCAATGTTACTTTTTCTTTCTCCTTCAGATATTGGTTCTAACAATTGCGGCTATTATGACCTGCAGGCAGTGCTAACTCACCAAGGCCGATCAAGTTCCTCTGGGCATTATGTGTCTTGGGTTAAAAGGAAACAAGGTAAGAAAACCAAAACAAATTGCAGCCCTGTTAACCACTCTTCAGGGCTCCTTTCAGCCAAGGGGCTGTTAAGCAAGCTTAGATTTTATGTACCTAAGCTACAAATGATCCTCTTGTTTTTCTTTGCAGATGAATGGATTAAATTTGATGATGACAAAGTCAGCATTGTTACACCTGAAGACATTTTGAGGTTATCTGGGGGTGGAGACTGGCATATAGCTTACGTTCTACTCTACGGGCCTCGCAGAATTGAAGTCGTTGAAGAAGAAGCTGAACAATAGTCTTCCGTTTTAGCCATTCTGCCTAGGTGTGAAATAAATGTTGATTACTGATCACTTCTTTAACCCCAGAGCTTTAGCAAGTGGATAAATAATTTGTTCAAACCTTCTCATGTGCAGAGGGATATTGTTTTAAAACTGATCCATGTACCAATTAGTCACTATTGGACTGGACTGCCCACTGTGGTGGTGACAATACTTAAAATAGCTTTAATGTCTTGCAGAAGATAATTTTTTTAAATGAGCCTCTCCTCCTCCTTCTTCTCTAATGTCATCAAGTATTTATTACACACCTACTCTCACATTTGTTACTCTTGCATGGTTTATACCACAGTTCAGTAGCTGTCCATCCTTTGCCTTACCTGGCAGTTCTGTTAGGAAGGTAGAAGAGAAACTGTTGCCTTGTTGTGTAACTCAGTGCTGCTGCCCGTAGCCGACAGCTGTGGCTACAATCAAGTATTTGTCCAGCCTGACCTGCTGATTCAGTCTGTTCTGTTGCTGGCATCTCATGATTTCAAAATAAATTGTGATCAACAATGTGTCTCCATTAAAAACAGCTCCTGTCCTGGTACTGTAGTCAGTATGCGTTTGTTTTCACTTCCTGGGCCACCACTGATGAATGTCTCAAAGCAGTCATGGAATAAAGTCACTTTTTTTTTAAGCTGTAGGGATGTGTCTCCTGTCCTGTTACTCTTTACTCCAGTAGCTACAGCCTAAAAAGCACTTCCCTGAACAGCTTCACCTGCGAGCACACCAAAGGCCCGGGGCTCTGTTTTAAGTAGCACAATGCTTAAAAGCAAGTTCTGCCCGTTAAGGAAGGCCCCTGACAGTACTGGTTCTGTTCCTGCAGGCCCCACAGAAACATTACAGGCTCTTCCAGGGTTAAATTCTTGCTCTGCATCCTGTTCCAGGGGAAGGAGGGATGGTGCCTGTGCCTGGTTGCTGCTTTGTGGAATTACATCCTCCCACTGTCATCCTCAGCTTTCCCAGCGCTGAAGTTGTCAGTCACACCTGCACACCTCCACTCACAATATGCTCAAGTCCCTTAATCAGTTGAAACTGTTGAAGTTCCTAACTTCTACCAACCCCTATCTGCAGCAGGAGCTAAGAACTGTGCTGTTATTTCCAATAATTTTCCTACATCTCTGCTCCTACCAACCTTCACTGAAGCACCCTAATCAAATTCCTAATCACATTTAAGTCTGAAGAGGGGTAGAAGGCACAACACTGTTACCAATGGCTCCACAGGCAGGAACTCTCCTTTGAGGTGGTAACTAATCTTGCTGGAAATTCACAGCTATGAGTGAATAGCTGAAATACAGAGAAAAGTTCAGTGGAAGCTATTTTCCAAACACTGCGAGATCTTGCTGAATGACAGAAACACTACACAAATTAGCCACAGAACAAGTTGTAGCCAGCTGCCACTTAACACCTTAAAAATCTCTCACATTTTGAGGGAAAACGGCTTGTAACCACGGTCTTAAAATGAAACATTCACAGTAACCTTTGACAAAAAAAATTCGTTGTTTACCAGGACTCATAGTCAAAGAATAAGAAGCTAACAATAATCACTAATAAAAACCAGCGTGGAAATTCCATGATCATTGAACCAGTGCTTCAGTGGGAGTGCAGGACTGGAAGTCAGTGCTGTGCCTTGGAACGCCATCACAACCCTCTTATTTTACCTCTACCAGGTAGGTTTTGACAGTCCCCAGCTCCCGTCACCCCAAAGGGTGACTCTGAAGTCCTTTCACACACAGTCCTTCCCACCATGAGGAATGAGTTTGCCAATTCTCTGTCCAGCGGGAGCAACCCGAGTTCTGCTGGTGCCAAACCCACAGCCTGCTCCAAAAGCTGCCAGGACTCTCCATCCTCCCCTTCAAGTTCTACAAGCAAAGATGAAGCTTCCTAGGTTCCAGGCCAGGGCAACTACTCCTTTTCTCAGACAATCTGGACAATCCAACAGCATTATTAAAAAGCTTTATATCATTTACTGAACATAAAATACCTATCAAAAATCTGTTACCTAGCAACAAAAGTAACAATTATCAATGGCAAGCACCAGAAGAGTCACAATTACCAACAGCCCCAGCCCCAAGTGAGTCAGTTGGCATTGAGGTGAGTTAGCTGCTGCCTTCGGTGTCGTTGGTGAAGCTTTCAGCCAGGTCCCCGAGGCCAGCTTTGGTCAGGGCTGTGATCAGGTTCTCGGGGGTGGCGTGGGCGCCCTCCTGATCCTGCCAGGCCACCAGCAGCTGCTTGGCTCTCATCTTCACATCCTCGCTGTCCAGCTCAATCTGCCTGATATCAGATTCCTTCATCTCCAAGTAGGGGGCCAAGGCCTTCCACTGCTCCCCCAGCCTGTTGGCAAAGGACTCGATCTGCTCGCCCGTCATGGCTTTATCCCGTTGCACCTCTGGACCTGGGGAAAACCAGGAGGAATCAGTGAGACACAGGGAACATCTCCAGACACTGCAAATGCATCTTCCCTGATCTGCCTCAGTTTAAATTTTCTGTTTATTTACTGACAGACTGACTTGCACCTTTCCTGTAGCTTTTCAAACCTACTTAAGCTGCAAGAGCAGATTTTTACAGGTGTTCACCTGGGTTTCTAGAGCAATGTCCCTTAATGCCCATAAAAAGGAAAATCTTGCTTTTTGTGTTATCTTCTGTTATATTGAGAGAGAAGTGCTAAAGTCTTAAATACATCAAAATTGCTTCCTCCAAATGAAAACAAGGATTTTGACAGGCAGATTACAGTTTTCTACACAAGTAAATTACAACGTTAAAATACAGAGGGATCTTTAACATTAGCTGTGTTTTGGAAGTTTTTAGTCACCTTACTGTAAGTCAACCCAGGTAAAAAAGACCAACCAAACCAACCCAGTTTAATTCCCTTTTTTGTCATGTTCCTATTGGCAACAGGGCTGTGACAGTAAATTTCACATGTAGTCAGTACTTTGAGGAATTTTCTGCCATTGACATAAAAACCATGGAACACTAGGCTCTGCTGAGAACCCAAGAGCTGTAGTGATTACAGACAGGTTTGCACATTCATAGCTTATCATGGTCTACGATCTATGGCTTACCACCCATGCTTATGTCACATTTTTAAAGAACGAAACACCAAAGATTGAATTATGTAGAGAAATTAATAATATTCCTAATTTTTAATAAAATATAGATATTTTATTAAAAATTAACCTCTTATTAAAAATTAGTCTCTTCTCATGCCACCTGAAAAGACAGCTGGCATAGAGTAGAAGTTTCAAGTCTCTCCAGTGCTTATCAGTCACACTCATTTATCTGAACTAAAGTTACATCGAGGAGAAAGGACAAAAGATGCAGAACAACAAAACAATAAAAGCCCTCAGATCACTTCCCTCATGTCTAAGCACAGCAGACCACAGCTCTGCCATTGTCACTTTAAGACAAGAATTAAAGAAAGATGTAAAGCCTACCCAGTGACACCACAAAAGCTGTATGAATTAGGATTAAGCTGAAGAGGAAAGAACATCTCTACTGCTGGAAAGGAGACTGTGGAGAAGGTCAAGTGCTGGATGGAAAATGGCAACATGAGAAAGATTCAGAGGCCCACAGGGGGCTCTCCACTGACAGAAAAAAGCTTGCAACAAAGCTGCCAGAGGTACCCAGTGTTTGGGTTCCATGCCCTGCATATCCCATCTGCCCAAGCTGGATCCAGGAGCTGGCACACAGGGTTACAGGTTACAGGGTGCTGTGAGATGAAGCCATGAATGAGGATGGACGAGGGCAGATTCACAGACAAAGGAGATGGTGAAGGACACCTCGGAGCAGGACATGCCAGGATTAAAGGCAAGAGACAAACAGGAGTGGATTGTGGAGAAAAAAAATGAGCGAGATTGTGTATGTCAGGAAGGTTGCTCTTCTCTCAGAGAGCCTTTTGCCTTTTTAAGGTATTTTAAATGAAGAGGAAGTAAAGATCTCAGAGTTGGAATATATCCTTTCTTGAAAGTCCCACAACTATCACCCCAGGAAGGGCTAGGGGAAAGTGCTTACCCCCAGTGATCAAAGGGCAGAGAGAACAGGAAAGTGGGTGAGGAGCACTCACACAGCTGACATTTCAGCCATGAACACCCAGTGACACTGGCAACATACACCACATAGCAGAAAAGGTGAAAGAGGCTCCTAATGAAAGTGCTAATCCAACAGGTTGGATGCTTTCAGCATTGCAGGCTAGGACACTAGGAGGCTGCTCCTGGTGCCCTATGACCCAAAAAGGCTGCACTTTTTGGTGCAAATGCACTGGGGTAAGCAGGACTAATGGTCCCCAGAGGAAACTATGTTAAAACACAGATTCTGCAACACATCAAGAGACAAACTGACAAGACTGAGAATATGCAAATCTTACTTTCATTGTTTTCCTTTAATAAAGCATCATTATCTTCCTCATCTTCATCTTCACCTGTTTTTATTTCTTCAGAAGGAGGCTACAATGAAAGAACTAAACATCACTGGATGAATTTTGTATTCAAAGAGAAATTCTACACCTCGGTGCTTGTCTCCTGGAATGTGTTCTAGAATGGAAAGCCTGACATAATCCCATATGAGAATTAAAAATCCCCCAGAGTCTCCTAAACACCAGTAACACTAGGAAGTTCTAATAAAACATATTATTGACTGAAAAACCTCATAAAAGCACCCAATGACTTCACAGGATTCTTCCTTTTCACAGTAACAAGAACTAAGCATTCCATAGTGAGCTTTATCACTTGCTTAAAAAAACCCCCTGCCAACCAAGTTAAAGATCACTACTGATGAATGTTTTATTTTTAAAAATCATATTATTGTTATTCACTAATTTTATTAATGAATTATTAGCACTTGGGAATTCTCCAAAGTTTAAGTACTTTCAGACTTCTGGAAGGTGGCAAACAAATACACAAACAACAAACTTCTCACTCCCTCATTTAGCTACTGATCAGCCAAAGGGATTCATCTTTTTCTACATTTCAGCCATGGGCCTTAGGTACATTTCTGTTTCTTGCCATAGCATTTGGCACATGACAGCAGTACCATCAGGAATATTGCATACAGCCATACCTTAATACATTCAACAAATTAAAATCTCCACATTTTTTTGAAACTTGTTATTAGCATACACTTAACTCTGATGACTGGACAAACAAAACGTATTAAAATCCAACCTTTAGACCTCACATGACACTGAAGGAGGATCTCAGTAGAGAAGCAGGGGTTTCTATCTGCAAGACACTTCTGGGTTGAATGCTAATTCAGAGATGTAAAAAGTGCTCCTTCCCCACTGGCAGCCTCTCATTATCACTGTGTATACAGCGATCTGAAAGGCCCCTCCCTGGACTAAAATTTGACGAAGCCAAGGGTTAACGCCTTTATTTTACAGCTCCACAAGGTTTATTCTTGTTTTGCATATTTTAGAAGTAAGGGAGCTAACAGAAGAACTCTGGCAAACCTTGCTGTAAAGCTCTGTAACACTTAGCACAGCACCTTCAGCTGCACACACTGCCTCTTTTCCTGCCATCCCAGTATATTCACAAGCCATGATTCTGGCTGTTACCCTCCATAAACTTGGTCTGCACTGCAATGTGGAACCCAAGCAGCTGGGTTTATATATATATATATATATATATATATATATATATATATATGTGT